CAATATTTTCCCCATACATTAAGTGCTCTGGTTGAGGCATAATAATTGTATCTTTCTTTCTAAAAACTGAAGAGAACATATAATTTAAGTTTACCATCTCATAATCTTCTGATCAGCTCCCCACTATCATTTTTAAGAGGCCGAATCCCCATCGTAACATTTTGGTTACCCATCATATACCTAAAGAATTCCTTATTGTTTGATTTAACTCTCTCTTAATGTTATATAACAAATCTTGTTTTTCTAAAATGTTATTGTTGTTAATAATGTTGTCAGCAACAAGAAATTAAAATTATGGGTATTTAGTATTTTGAATGAGAATATTTTATGGGTTTAACAGTCATATTCAGGTATAGCCATTCCTAATTTGTAACTATTGTCTAGAATGCCAAACATAGACTAGAACTTGCAACCTATGATGACATGGCTGTCACTTATATAATACACCCACTGTGTAGGAGCATGTTCAGTAGCATATCACAATAAGATCTTTAGACCTTCTGATCCACAGTCTGACACACTAACTACTAGACCAAGTCCAAACTGAAATGCAAAAAACTGTTGATGCGACTGTTCACAAAGCTGCATATTTGATATATAATGTAATGAAACAACAGTTGCTTAATTCTTTTTCAGACAAAAAGTTATAATTTTAACATTTGATTATTTATTAGTCGATTTAATATTTAATGATTGTTTAGTTTTCACAACAAGAGTGTTGAAAGTTTATTATTTTAAAACCGATAGTTGTGACAAGTTTCATTTGGTGAGAATCGTACATTATGTGTATAGTTAAGTTGTAATTTGACGTCACATTACTTGAACCTTCTGTATTTTTCTTGTTGCTTTAAGTGAGTATTGTTACATCACAGTATCTCATAGTTTGTAGAAAGTTCTAGTCTTCAGTTGGGCACTGTATATATATATATATTGTTACATATCTGTTTGTTTGGTAATTTCTAGTAAAAATTCTTTCCGAGAAACTTCAGCTATACAAGTCCCTTCTTGAATAAAACTAATTTATTCTTTCTCAATACAAACTTTGTAATACACTTAACAACTTTTATAACATACGCTATAAATCACAGTGGTTCACACACTTTACTTACGATGCCTACTGTTTGGTTGACTCAATTATCTCTATCTTCAATCTATCTGCATATCTATGCAATTCTATCTTCCTCGCTGGCTTTATTTACTGGGCTTATATACTAAAAAAGAGGGTGTCTGGAACAAACTAGAGTTGCCAGGAAAATTCATGATCCTTCGAGAAACTCCAGCACACATGCTCCCAGTGTTGCGTGACTTCCGCTGTCATAACAATATGAATGACTAACTGAAAGTGAAGTTAGACTGCATGATTGTTAGTTTAGCCATAACAGGCAATATTTTAAACTGAGTTTCACAGTTTAATAGAGATAAACAGAATAATTTGTCTTGTCAAAGGGTGTTCTAAAGTAATTGAACCCGTCAGTGTGGAATTTGATGAAAAGGAGACAATTACATTTAAAGTTCTGGATACAACTGTGGTAACACACGGAGTAACGTAAGTGAATTATTCACTGATTCTATTGTGACAAATAGAGGTAGAGAAGAAGTAATTTGTCTTGTCATTTGGGTTCTAAAGTAACCAAACCAGTCTGTAGTAACCAACTATTATAGTGGTGATTTGTAAGAGAGTTTCATAGCTTGTATTGTAACAACAGAGATTGAGAAGAAGAATTCATCTTTTCAATTGGGTTCTAAGGTAACTGAACCAGTCTGTGTGGACTTTTAACATGAAAAGAGAATTATTTAAAGCTTTAGATACAACTTTGATAACCAATTGTGAAATGGTTTTTGTACATACGTTTAACTTGTTTTGAATATATTATTTTAAAACAAGTGGATTGTGTATTGACCATTTATTGTTGACATTTATTGCCAACAAGTCACACACACCTACTGTAAAGAATCTGGCCCTATTCAAACCCCTGACACTGCCCCAGTGAACTGTACTTTGGTATTCTTGCTTGACTCGGTAGTTAGGGAGCTCAACTTGCAACTTGCTGGATTGAAACTTGCTGTTGAACATTTCAGCTGTTGGGATGTTATGATCTGATGGTCATTTCTGCTATTCATTGATGAAGAGTAGGTCATATTGACTAACTTCCTTCCTTCTATCACTGGAAAATTAAGGATGGCTAGCATATAGCTCTCGAATAGCCTAGCATGAAATTCAACTAACAAATACTTGTCTTAGATATAATCTCCTTCAGGTTTTATCTATTAGTAAATTAGAGTTTATGAAATGTGCATTTCTATGGTCAGTTTTTAAACATCTTTCTGTTGCAGTTTCTTATCTTTTACAGCTTTTCAAGATACACATGACTTTCAATCATTTTTTATTTATTTTCTTGTGAATTATTGCTGAGATATTTCTCAATCAATTTTAGTTGTTGTCTTTGTCAACTTTACATAGAACATGGATGATATGTGCTACTTTAGGTCCGTGGCCTGGCGGTTAGGGCACTGGACTCGGCAAATTCCATCACTGATCATGCTTGCCCTTTCAGCCATGGGGGTTATTATTATGTAATGGACAATCCCACTAGTTTATCCTAAATTAGGGCTGGCTCGTGCAGATAGTACTTGAGTTAGCTTTACAAAAATTCAACAAACATACAAACAAAGCCACTTTGGTATGTGAATGAGTTGGAAATGTAGAAAGGAAATGTTTTCCACAATGTTTAAAATTTTTTCCTAACTCCAAGTAACTTTATAAAATATTCCGTAAAAGCATAAGCAAATACATTACATTGTACTTGTAGCAAGCTAGCATTAACATTGAATGGAAATGTGTACATTACATTGTATTTGTAGCGAGCTAGCATTAACATTGAATGGAAATGTGTACATTACATTGTATTTGTAGCAAGCTAGCAGTAACATTGAATGGAAATGTGTACATTACATTGTATTTGTAGCAAGCTAGCAGTAACATTGAATGGAAATGTGTACATTACATTGTATTTGTAGCAAGCTAGCATTAACATTGAATGGAAATGTGTACATTACATTGTATTTGTAGCGAGCTATCATTAACATTGAATGGAAATGTGACAACCTAGATATTCAACACAATTAGTAAACGCACACCCAAGGGCCTAAAACTAATAATGATCTGACTAAGGTTGAAAATATTTTCATTTTGTTTTAGCCATTTTGACATCAGACCAGGTGTATGGTAATCACCATTGTTATCCTGAGATAAAATCACATGCTCTCAATTTCTATTCTATTTTATAATACTAGCTTATAGTGATAAAAACTCATGAATTTTATTAACATAAGCTTAGAGAGTGTTAACCTAGCATTTAGATATGGTTGATATCCTGGTATTTTTTATATTATTTGCTAAACTACCCAAACTTGCCTTTATATGGCAAAAATACTTCATTATACATAGTGTTACGACATCGAGGTCACGTGACTAGTATCACACCACGTCATTCTCGAACTTTCACATCTTTTCCTTAAATCTCGTGATCTTTCTAGATATAGTGTAGTCTTGTATATATAAGACAGGCCACGAAGCGACGAAGAGTACAATGAGTAATTGAACTGCAGTCAGAGAATGTGTAATGCAATGAGTAATTGAATGTATGCAGATAAAATATTGTTGGCCACGTGAGACGCGAGTTATAGCGTTTGAGCTTATATTTAGTTAATCTTCTAAATGACATTTTTTGCTGTATCTGCCCTTTACTATACTTGTGTGATTGCCTTGCATTTGAGGAACCATTTGTGGACATGTACTTCCTCTCTCACTATATATATATATACACACACACACTCACATGAAGATATTGCTTTCATATCTATGATAAAAGCACTGTTCTTTGGTTACGGAGGCTTTAACTATAAGCCTAAACTGAGCATGTTATTGGATTAATGGGTAAACTACATACCTATGCATCGTTCTGACACTTCTCGGCATCAAGAAACTAGTAAAACCATCTGTACGTAAATGGAAATTGCTATAGCGGTTGTTAATTTAACACTCTAAAATTTAATTATTCTATATCTTGAACATACAGTTGCATACTTTTCGACCACATTTTGTCCTCTGCAACGATCCAACTCAGATGAATGGAAGGCCTTCTGAGCAGTAAAGTGTAGTAGGAAAAAAGATAATCTGAAATGCTACTTTAAAACTTATCTCACTTGAAATACATAGTGGAAAAAAAATCTGTAGTGAAGCATATTTTTTATAACAAGTGTTACATCAGTGTTACCACTGATTGCCTGTTCTGAGCATTTAGCACGACAAGAATATAATGATTCCTGGTTTATGTCATTTAGATTTCTTTTCTCTAGAGTACAAACACAACAGAGAAAGTTTGATTCATTTGTAGAAAGTTATTTGGGGTTTGAACATTCTTCCCAGGGTTGATATGTTTGAGTAGATGAAAGAAGAAGTTGGAAATATTAACTTGAGTACTGGAGTTATAGGTTTAAGTTTTGGAAGCCTATAGATGCAGAGATGTACTTGAACAGAGCTTAGTTATCAGTTTGTATAGTGATTTGCCTAATGATGTGGTTTGTGCCATTAAAGTCTTGTAAAAGTTTGTTGGATAGGTGCATTATATGGCACTTTTTTTATGTTATCGTAACTTTCTTTCTGTCATCTGACTTTTCTTATGACCATATATTAAGTTAGTAACTAAAGACCTTACCTAAAACTTTAAGAAACAAAGTAAATATTTTCTGTTTTATCCTTTATGTCCAACTTTTCTGTAAGAAGACAAAACATCTTATGAAGTGCATAAAAGTTCTGTGACTAACTGTTTTCACGAGATGCTTTTTAGGGTTAATATTATTATATAATGTTACTTCATATTAATTCTTGTCAACACTTCTGTTTATAATATGAAAAATAAAACACTATTTTTTCTTTATTTGGTTTACAGATTACAAAAAAAAATGGTTCATTATAGACCTTCACGTTTAATTGTTGCTTTAAGTGCTATTGGAACAACGGTTGGAGGCTTAGTAATTTTCAAGGATTATATTGGTGGTTGCAGATATTATGGTGAGGAGACTATGCATGGGAAGACAGTTATTGTAACAGGATCAAACTGTGGAATTGGAAAAGAAGTGGCACGAGAATTTGCAAAGAGAGGAGCAAAAGTCATAATGGCTTGTAGAGATATTAATAAATGTGACAAGAGTCGACAAGAAATTGTGCTCGATTCAAACAATGGGCAAGTTTATTGCTATAAATTGGATTTGGCATCTCTTCGCTCGGTTCGGAAGTTTGCCGAAGAAGTCGATACCAAAAACTCTTTCATTCATTTGCTGGTAAATAATGCTGGTGTGATGAGATGTCCTCATCAGTTGACTGAAGAAGGGTTTGAATTACAGTTGGGTGTTAACCATTTAGGTCATTTTATGTTGACTAACTTATTGTTAGACAAATTGAAATTGTCTGCTCCCTCCAGAATCATTAATGTGTCAAGCACTGCTCATTATCGTGGACATATTGATTATGATGATTTAAATAGTGACAAACACTATGATGCTGCAAAAGCTTATAGTCAAAGTAAACTTGCTAATGTTTTGTTTACTAAAGAATTAGCCAACAGACTGAAGGGAACAGAAGTGTTGACTTTTGCAGTGCATCCAGGAATTGTGAACACTGGAGATAACACGACATATGAGTTTTAACAAATCGTTTTTCTCTTATATTCTAGTGAACCCTTTGTTGTGGCTGTTTAGCAAGAGTCCAGTACAAGGTAGCCAGACAATTCTTAAATGTGCACTTTCTTCTGATGTTTTGGATAAAAGTGGAAAATACTTCAGTAACTGTATAGAAGTACCACCAGCAACTGAAGCGCAAGATGAGGAAGGTGCGAAAAGACTGTGGATGGTTAGTGAGAAATGGACAAGGTTAAAATAAGAAAAACCGTTGTTGTATTACACCGAGAAATGTTAATTCTTCTTTATTTTTATTAAATCAGCTAAAATACAGTGAAACAAAATAAGTCATAGAATTGAAAGTTTGAGCAAGCTTATAATTTGAAAAGAAGTCGTTCCAATAAATTGTGTTAGTTTAAGATTGGCATCACAATTATTAGGATCTCTCGGATATTAATTTATATTCATCTTCAGTCCTAATAACTGTCACAGTTTTACCAGGAATATTTTCGTCAATACAAAAAACAACCATCTATTACAGACAGATTTCATTTTGTGTCGGGGCCTGGCATGGTCTTGCAATCTGTGGGCCACGGGTTCGAATCCCACCATCAAACACGCTCGTCCTTTTAGCCTTTGGGGGCATAATAATGTGGTAGGTAATGTCCCTATTTGTAAAAGAGTAGTCCAACAGTTAGCAGTAGGTGGTGTTGACGAGTTGCATTATTCAAACTAGGGACAGCTAGTACAAATATCCCTAAAGTAGTTTTATGTGGAATTCAACAAATAAACAAACTCTTTGTGTCTATAATTATACATAAATCTTTTCTCTTTCTTTGTGTAACAAGAAGTCACCAAATTTTTTTTTCTAAATTTTTGAAATAATAACCTTAAACTTGTTGGATTTCATCATTCTTGTTTGATCAGAAGAAGACTGTTTTGAATAAGAAGTTAAAGAAAAGCAGTTTAATGTCACCATATTATATGTTGTTATTCATGAAATTACTATATAGCATAATTAACAAACAGAGATTGAAACGGATCGTTATGGTAACCCAACTGATCAATTCAATGCATTTTGGTCATTATAAGCTTTTGTCATACATTATTAGTTGTGTTAAATGAGACACTTCATGCAGTTTCAATGAGAAGTTATTGATAACAAAATAGACCTGTTGTTAATTGGATCATTTTTCACTTACGAGACAGTTCCTTCCCTGCCTCCCCCAGTGGCACAGTCTGTGGACTTACAACGCTAGAATCCTGGTTTCGATACCCATGGTAGGCAGAGCACAGATAGCCCATTGTTTAGCTTTGTGCTTAATTACAAACAAACAAACCTTCCCTGCCCTCCCTCTATTAACTGACATTTTTCACCAATGTAATATAGTAAGAACCTGACTTGCTGACAACGTACTATCAAGAAATTTTCTGAAGATTTATAAACAGTTAAATTGACAATATCCCCTGTGAAATAGCTCAGGATTAAGCTTGAGGACATGTAATACTAAAATTAGGGGCTCATAACCTTTGCACATAACCTGTAGTGTAGCTTTGCACATAAAAGTTTATGAGAAATATAAACCAAATTCCAAATTCCTCTTACTTAAATAAGTTTTGTATTCCTCTAGTCATAATATGAAGTCGTATTTCTGTTATAAACATTCCAGCAATTTCTTTGCACTTTTAGATTTTCAAATACACAAAGAAAAGCACTAACTTGAATTGAGACAATTTCTACACAGTGTTTTACTCAAGGCACTACTGTTTCACATAATCATAAGTTATAAGATTGGAAAATATGTAACTTTCCACAAGTCGCACAAGAAGGGAAAATTCAATGAAGTTATTTTTGACATCTCAAAAGTCAACCAAAAATGGATAAACTCACTAAATTAATGTAGACAATAAATCACACTTTTGGAACAAAGTATTAGCACAAAGGCTAGAAACTTACTTCAGTACTTTCACTTGTTGTCTTCTGCCTCACACAGTCCCCTGGAAGAAATTTGCCTGCACAACTTATGTGAAACCAAACTGTGAAATTCCCCCGAGGACACATGTTCTTAAGTTTGGCTTGAAATGACCTTTTAGCAGTACTAAAATTTGATACATTTTTAATAGTATAGCTTTCAACAATTCTTTATTTTATGTATTTTTTGGTTTTATCTATAATTTTGGCTGATTTCCAGTTCATAAGATGGTTTGAGAAATATTACATTATATGTGTTTCCATTTGTGATGTCCCTTTTGCATTCTGTTACTCTTGTGTTTAAATTTCTTCTTACTTCATAGACACTTTTTACCTTTTTGTTAGGTAATTTGTAAAAGTATTGACGTACTTATAGGTTATACAAGAAATAATTCTACCTTAGGGTTCCCTTATTTTGTTCAGATTTTGTGCTATAGTTCAAGCAGAGTAGATTCTGTTTGTTCTCATTTATAAAAAGGTTATGTTGGTTCTCTAACATTCATTTAAAGAAAGATTTTTTTGAGTCTTAGATGAATGTATTTGATTAATTGTGAGATGTTTATGGTTCAAAGTGTATTTTACTGTTGATAATCTCACTCTGGGCCTTTCATAGGTAAAATAAATTGAACAAAATCTAAAGATTTGTAACCCACATATGCAAAATAAGTTTTATAACTTTTTTAACAAGTTTTCTTCGTGTCAGATGTAGTCATTGGGTCATTATCGTGTGACAGTCATTTTGGTGAGTGCTGCTGGCTGGTTTTCTTCCCTATGGTTGAAAATTGAAAATTAGGGATGGTGGCAGACAGCCTTAATAGCTTTGCTGTAAACACCTAAACAACATCCCACAAATAACACATACTAACTGACATTCCTGGAGAAGTGTGTAAGTCATTTGGTTACACTTCCTGGCGATGGTGTGTTTATATCTGCTACATTTCAACCCTTGTTTGTCACAAGCCGATACACTTCCTGGTAATAGTGTGTTTATATCTGCTACATTTCAACCCTTGTTTATCACAAGCTGAGACACTTCCTGATGATAGTGTGTTTATATCTAAAGAATGTAACTGTTGCTGACATCAACTGCTAACATTTGTAGGTATTCATCTGCTACATTTCAACCCTTGTTTATCACAAGCCGAGTCACTTCCTGGTAATAGTGTGTTTATATCTAAAGAATGTAACTGTTGCTGACATCAACTACTAACATTTGTAAGTATTCATCTGCTACATTTCAACCCTTGTTTATCACAAGCCGAGTCACTTCCTGGCGATAGTGTGTTTATATCTAAAGAATGTAACTGTTGCTGACATCAACTACTAACATTTGTAAGTATTCATCTGCTACATTTCAACCCTTGTTTATCACAAGCCGAGTCACTGCTTGTGCTATTCAACTCCTTTACTACACACCTATAAGATTTTTGTGTAAGTGCACTATAGATTTTTACATATAAGAAGTCTCAGGCATATATCTGCCAATATTCACCATACAGTTTTGTCCAAATGCTTGTAAATAAAAGCCTCTTAGAACATTAGTATTCCAAGTGATTATCAACAGTAACACCAGCCATTATTGTTCTAAAATTACATATTTCAACTTCAGCTGTCCTAGATATTCACAAATTGTCCACACTGTAAAATATCATCACACTCCACTAGGCTGAATGGAAAGCAAATATATTATAGCCATTCAGGTCTTCCACCTGCTGTAATCGAACAGCAAGCACAAAATATATAGATATTTTAACACGAAATCCCACTTTGCTTAGAAAGTAAGGGAATGAGTTCCTTCTGGTAGCTACTGACCCTCCTCTCATCCTAACTGCCAATCGGTTTTAATCACAATCACAGCAATTTATAAGTGAGTCTCGAAGCAACAGCCCCTTTGTTGAACAACCGAGTTGTATCATCTGTAAGCTTCCCTCCTCTCACTCATTGCCAGAGAGGTAGTTGTGGCACCTTCCTCATCACTGACCTGGTCAAGAGCATAAGTCATATTGAATTCAGTGTCCCTTGATAGGACTCGTTAATCCCCTTAACCTCTAACTCTTGGTTTTTAAGTGACGTATTGTCTTAGAATGTTTTCAAGTGCTATATGACTCCTACAGCATGTAGTTTGATGTACTGAACTGTTTAAAGATAAGTACTATTTTAACCAGAATTGAATTGCTTCCATAATGTAAGTGCATAATAAGCCTTTCTCTGTCCTCACACTCAAACTTTTATTCCTCTTCTGTCTTTTTGTAAGGTTTAACATCTAGCTACTTCATCCATTTATGTACAAGACGTAATAATTTAAAGTTTAATTAAACACCCCACATAACACAGTATACACTGTGACGAGTCTTTACAGGGCAGTAAACCATCTATAGTATCAACTTTGTGTTGGAATATTAGTAATTATGTGATGTAACTGGTTTACCACATCATTTCAGTTGTTGATCTTAAATCCTTGACAGAGCTTAGAAATTAGAAACCTTAAAAAACAGCAGAAAAAAAGTTGATTTTAGTTGAATTTAACAGTGAAATTCCTATCACATAAAAGTTTTCAGTAGTGTTTTTACAAATACAACAACTGTAAGCAGTTCATTTTATCATGTAGCACAAGTTTCTACGAGCCATCAACTAGTGAATGTCATATATGATCAAAAAGCTCCACATCTTCATTGAAAAGATTTCACAGTAACTGGCATCTGTGTTCAGGATGAATGTTCAGTCATGCTCAAAGAAAAGCTTAACAATATATCCCCCAAAAAAGCATATTTTAATGACTCAAATGTTTTTGTTTTTTTCGTAGTCTTCAGTCTAGTTAAAATATGAACCATCCTTAGTCAGAGCAACAAGTGGTGTAATTTTTGTAAATAAGTTTGTCTTTAGTTATCAATAATAAGATGTGAATCCTAGAAAGCAACACATTATAGGTACAGATTCTTTTTTGTTTTGGAAATAATATTTCCATTTTAGTCAAGTTCACTCTTAGAATTTACAAGAATACAAACATTCACAGAAATACATAAACTCCATAATGAACAAAACCTTGGTCACGACTCAAAAACTATATTTCAATAAGTTACTTGTGGTATTTCTGACAACTCCTGACAACAGTAGTTGGAGGTTCTGTGTTTGTAAGTTGTAAGTTGATCAAAACTAAGAGAAAATGTTCAAAAAATGTCAACAAATAAATTATCGTTCCTTGATATGTCTTCTATTAATAGTTATTTTACCTGCTGGGCTAGCTTTCTACTAAAGCAGTCAACTGGGTAAATACTGAAAGAGGATAACTTTATTTATGGTTATGTAAAATTTCCAGTGTTACATCATAACACTTTTTTGAAACATATACAGAAATTTTTTAAAATGCTTATAGCCCATTGATGTGTGCATTACTAGTTTTGGACTCTAGGACAAACTTAGGACCTCAAACTTTGTTGAAATTCCATCTTTTCTCTCCCTGCACATGATCAGCATGCTAGACATCCTACAGAGATGAGTTTGCCAGCAAGCCAGCTATATGCCAGGTTAGATAAATACATATACAAATGGGGTAAAAACAAGAGCAAAGTATATAGTGTAGTACAAGGTTGATTGCATACTGTTTGTCTGGAACTTGTAACTAAATGCAGAAACCTCAACTAAAATTTTGAAATAGATAATTATGAATATGCATATTCTAATTTATGGAAAGATTTATTATGGTGGCTAGTACTACATGATTGAATGACGATAAATATTTTTAACTCTCTTCTCGTTTCTCATTGTTAGCCTAAAAAAAGACTTTTATAGTAACTAACACTGACAATTAATCATACATACATTGTGCCTGTTGTTTTTATAAAGAGCATTCGATTGATAAAAAATAAGTCTGTCGTTAAAAACTTCTAAATTTAGTTTACTTTTATTGAGAATTTTTAAGTTTCAGTTTAATCACTGGAATTCTTAGCATTCTTTTACAGTTACTCATAGAACATAATAAGTTTAATAATTTCCATTTTAGATAATGTAACTTAATAGTTTGTTTTAGTAAAACTGTATATGTTATTAGTTTAATTTACGATAAACTTGAGTTATTTTAATTAAAAATCATTAGTGTTTTTTAGACATAAACTGCAATTAAAACTTGACAGAAAATTAAAGATTTCATCATATATTTTAATTAACTGACCTTAAGGAAATTAATAAATATGATAAAAGATAGAACTTAAAAATTTGAAATCATAGCTAGAAAATTTAAAGACAATAACACTGGATATTATTATTTCATAAACATTTTAAATTAAGAGATATGATATATATTTGTTTTAAATCTAGTCAACCTTAGTTAATCAACAGTGTAGATTTAGCTCTATTATGATGCTTCCAATGGCTCAGTGGTAAATCTCAAGGTTTATAACACAACAATTTGGGTTTCAATACTCACAGGGGGCACAGTACAAATAACCGGTTATGTAGTTTTGTGCTTAATAAAAAAACAAGACATCTAAGACACTGTATTAATAAAATATTTACTTTACTTTAAACTTGTATTGTTTAACCCTTTCCAGACTGAATATTTTATTGTCATCCAGTGCAACAGTGACTCCAAATGTAGTAATAAACCATAATATTAATATGAATACTGAGGTACTTATGGTAAATATAGCATTGATTGTGTCTATATGTATGATAAAGTTCAAAACTGTTACTACCTTTGTTAAGACACAACATCACACAAGTATACTCCACAGTGACTGCACATAAAATGGCTGTGGTGGCAATCTCCTTCATATGTCAGTTGTGTGCCATCGTGAGGATTTCCGTATTTGCACACACCTCCTGCTCTTGCAATACTTTCATTACAAACCTACAGTTATGAATGGTTTCAGTGAACAATGTTGTTCCACGTTTTCCAGTCTCTGAGCATCGTGTGAATCTCTAATTGTGACGGTCTACCAGCTCGTTTCCAAAATGTTTTGACGTCGATAATCCTTTTGCAATACTACTTTCATGTCACCTATTGTCAGCAAAACTAACTATGCTCTTTCAAACTCGGCAAAAACTGCGACTAAATAAAGTGAACTGAACTCGTGGAAAACGTTAATCTGGTTGAAACAAATCATTTTAATATCTAATTTCTGAACAGGTATTATATGCCTACAAGAATATTGTTTTAAATTGAATTATTAATATTTTAATTTAGATGTTTCATTGATAAAGAGAACCTATCAAGATGTCATTCTGATGCTATATCTAGAAATTTCGTAAACATTAAAGCCTCGGTAGATACTGGAAGCTTCCTATATTACATGGAAAGCTAGGTTGCATATAAATGCTGTTCTCAGTGACTTATTCAGTCAAGTGTCAGCTAGTGAATTAGTTAGTGATTCAGTTAGTAAGTTAATCAGAGAGTCAGTCAACATGTTTGTTATTGATTGATATGTAATACAATTCTGCAATAATGTTGAGCGTAGCTTGTAGCAACATTATAGAAAAAATGACTTAACTCGTTAACCTTATATGGACTGAACTTTACATTAACATTACCAAATAATTTAAAGGAAACTGCCCAATTATAGAACATGGTACAACACTTTAATCAGAAGTGGGATTATTTTAACGAAAATAAAATAGAGCAATGGCTTAACTTCAAAATGACAATACAAACATGAA